TATTTTACGCAAATGGTTCATAGTAAAATGTATATTTGTAGTAATTCGTATTTTTATTTATTTTCCTATATTAAAGCATAAATATATTAAAAATAAAGAAATTGCAAAACCATTGTAATTATTGATAGAGACCATGAAAATGTTGCTTTTGGTTTTTGTGTTAAAAAAACAGTTATTTGAAAAAACTAGTCTCCCGACGTTGAGAAAATAGTTTTTTTAGACCAAATAGGTTTGGATATTGTCCTTTTAGACTAACCTCTAGTATTTATGTCCCATTAGACTAAATATTTTTTAAATAGCAATAATGCCCTTAAATTCACTTAAAAATCGTAAAAATTAAAAATAAAAATCTTCAAATCGGGGAAAAAACGAAAGGAACTGCTCTATATGACAGGATCGATCGATCCCGTAAACAGTCGATCGATCCCAGCGGTTGATCTCGATGATTAAACAAAAACATAAAAAAGAACGGAGCAGAAACTGATCGACCTTTTCAAGTTCAGTCGATCTACACCGATCGATCTACCAAAGATCGATCGATCTCTGTTCTAGATCGATCGATTCCGATCCCAGTTAATTCTTCCAACTCGATTTCATGGTTTTCTTCGGTTATATTTGGTTTAATTCACATCTGATTTGAACCGAGTAAACACGACTTAACCTACTAATTCGTGTTTTTGGGATCAAACCCATCACTCTCTTCTCTGCCATCACGTAAAAAGGTAGACAATGGAGGTTCCTTATTCATAAACCTTAACTCACTCAGTTTTGCTATGATTTGGACGATTTTTGAGCCTAAACCACACTATTTCACGAATTTTTTTTGACTTTCTCAGAGTCTAATCGATCGTACAGATCAATCGTTCTGGATCGACCGATCCCCTAGGTGAGATCGATCGATCCAATGCCCAGGCAAGACCTTTTTGCCTTTGAATTTTCTTTTTTTAAAAAAAAATTGAACTTTAAATATGGAAACCAAATATTTCCTAATATATTCTTCCTATATTTTTGGATCTAATAATATTTATCCGTAGAATTCAGATTCTGCTAAAGGTAGAACTGTGTTAAGAGATATGAAATCAGTTTCTACATGTATTAGAACGTTGTAACAATGTAGATTTCGATTTCTACTAGTTTTAGATTTAAGTAAGAATTTAGATTTCAATTTCTACTTTTATTAGAACTCTATGATAAGAGTGGAATGTGTATTCCAAACTATTTTAGATTTGTGTTATCTGCGTAGAAAACATATTCTGCAGTTCGTAGAAATAGTGAAAAAAGTGGATTTCGTATTCTAATCCGTAGTATAAGGATTCTAATTTCGGTGTATTCCAAACTATTTTAGATTTGTGTTATCTGCGTAGAAAACGTATTCTGCAGTTCGTAGAAATAGTGAAAAAGTGGATTCCGTATTCTAAACTGTAGTATACGATTCTATTTTCGGTAGAATAATATATGAAATTATTATTTACACATTTTTAAAACAGAAAAAAATATCACTATATAGATATAGGGGTTTCATCATTATTTACTATTTTTAATTTTTTTTTGCTTCATAAATCTATTTTCTTAATAATTTCAGAAATAAATAAAGGGCAGTAGAGTCAAAATTGGTGCAAAATATAATTTAAACTAAAGGGACAATGTCCAAACCTATTTGGTCTAAAAAAAACAATTTCCCCTATAAAAAAAAAGAAAAAAACTAGTCTCCCTACATTTTAGAGAAACCATTCTTTAAAAATCTTGATCGGGAAAATTGACTTTTTGAAAAACAAAAACCCAAAACTAATTCAAAAAGTTCAAACAATCACCCTAGCGTAGATTGTTAATGAAAGCCAATTCAATTGCTCGATCGAGTTTTTTTTATCGTATTTGATAGGAAGAAAGTTTGTTAATTTCGATATCAGGAGTTCTGAAATCTGTGTTAAAAAAAAAAGGAGTTCTGAAATCTGAGTTCTATTAATTTAAATCAGATCTTTTAAAAAACTGTTGATTTGTCGTGTAGGCAGATTTTTGTATATTGATCTTCTCCGGAACATTGTTTCTAGAAAGAATAGCATTCTAGGGCACTTTCATGTTTTTATATTATAAATAGGCAATTTGTGTTACCAAGATAGTTTATCTTAACTTTCTCAACTTTTTTCCCTAATTCTTAACCGTCCAGTTAACTAACCAGTAAATACACATTTCGTTTTAGCGGAAATTAACTTCACACATCTTTCTCTCATATTTTCCCTTTTTTTCTTTTGTCTTCTTCCTCTTTCATTCTCTATTTTTTAGAAAAAAAATCAAATCTGATTCTTAAATTTCTTTTCTCAATTTTTTTCGATGAAATCGTTCTCTCCATTATTCGATCTATCTTTTAAGATCTGTGAAGGTATATTTCCGATGTTGGTGTACATCTTATCTAATGTACACACGTTATTTTGTGTACGCTTTTTTGACATACACACGTGTACATTCAAAATGAACCAATATATGTGAATAAGTTGTGTACAATTATATGTGTACACTCTTTATTATTAAAACAATGTACACTCGTCACATGTGTACACTAATTATTATTAAAACAAAAAAATTACATCTTCACATGTGTACAATACATTGCTTTAATAATATACAATGTACACAAGTGATTTCTGCAACTAAATATCTCTCTTATCATTTTCATTCTGAAATCTTTTCTATTTTTTTTTTTTAAGAAATTAACTTTTAGAGAATTTATTCAAGAGATTGTGAAATCTTATTTATCCTCTTTTCTAATTTTTTTTCAACAGACTTGAGATCTCGTCATTGTACGTCTTCATTACCGAAAGTTTTATTAAGAAGGTGACACTCAGCCATGGCGATTTGGAACAAGTTGACTAAGAAATCAAAAACTAAAAAAAAATGAACTTTCTTATATCAAATATTTACATGTACACATATGTTTGAGATACATATTACATGTCCAACATGTTGTAAAGATATGTACATCTTTTAGTGTATATTAAATGTTAGTAGTATACATATATACAATAGTACATATGTATAATAAATATGGTAGTGTATATGTGTACAACAAAATATAGTAGTGTACATTAATTATTTTTATTAAGATTGCCAAATTACGAAAATAACTCCATCTTCTTCCTTAACCATTGTTGACCAGAAATCCCAATCTCCGTTTATCTTGCATATTTCCATGATTCTTTAGATTCTTCACTTATTTTTGATATATATTTATCTAGATATGGTAGTTTTCAGTCTTAATTCATGATTTGATCTTAAAAGTTCATTTTTTTTAGTTTTTGATTTGTTGGTCAATTTGTTCCAAATCGCCATGGCTGAGTTCTTAATAAAACTTTCGGTAATGAAGACGTACAATGACGAGATCTCACGTCTGTTGAAAAAAATTTAGAAAAGAGAATCAATAAGATTTCACAATCTCTTGAATAAATTCTCTAAAATTTAATTTCTTTAAAAAAATTAGAAAAGATTTCAGAATTAAAATGATAAGAGAGAGATTTAGTTGCAGAAATCACTTGTGTACAATGTATATTATTAAAGCAGTGTATTGTACACATGTGAAGATGTAAATTTTTTTTTGTTTTAATAATAATTAGTGTACACATATGACGAGTCTACATTGTTTTAATAATAAAGAGTGTACACATATGAAGATGTACATATGTACACATATAATTGTACACATGTACACATATACTTGTACACATTTTTTAAATGAGTGACAATTTTGTAATTAAATCATATTTTTCTTATTAGGGTATTATGTGTTTCTGCAACGAAATCTCAGAGACGCCTTTAATTTTTTTTCATGCAATCTTCATTTTTTTTGCGTTTTAAACTTTAGAACTTGTTGTAATTAACCAATTAGATCCAAAAACCAAGTAAAAACAAATTTGCTCTTAATTATAAAAAAAATCTAAGCGACGTTTCTTTTTCTTCTTCCTCTTAATTCATTGATGGTGGCTGAACTTTGAGATGACTGAAATCAATCCGGTTGCAGCTTCAAAAATCAGAGAGGAGACTGGACGGCTACAACATCTTCACCACCAAGTTGAATACTGGTCTGAACCAGAGAAGAAGATCAAACTGGAGACGTGACTGTCAAGCGAAGGAGAAGTGGAGATTATAGAAGAAGCTGGAGATGCAATGGCAGATAAACCTCTGAATATGGAGTAGATCTGAGCTGTTGTTTTCTTCTTTCTTTCAATGGAGAGTAAAAAATAAAGAAAAGAAAAAGATAGAATAGAAAGAGAAAGGAAAAAAGGTTATGGTTAAATAATAAAAAGAAAAAAAGATATAATATTTAGTTAGCTTATTTAGTTAGTTTATAGATAGAAAGTGGAGTTGGTTAGAAGAAACTACCTTAATATAAAGAACTACCTTTTTCTGATATAAAAACTCAACAACTGCCCTAGGATAAAATAAACTCTTGTTTCTAGATATGGAACACGATCCGTTTAAAGCTCTTGTTCACACGACACATTTACATTCGATTGCTGACGTTGATTAACCGTAAATTAATAGAATAACTGTCAAACACAGTCATATTTCTACACGTTGCTGCTAAATGAAAGATTTTAAAACAAGTAGTAGATAATTTCTTTGCTTCGGATTCTTTCGGCTCATGCAAAGTTCTGAAATTGAAAGTTGATACTTATATTATTCGTCTCCACCATGATACAAACCATATAATATGATCAAATCATGTAAGCCTTAGATACTTCTGGCTTTTTTTTTTATATATTAGAACATCTCCAACGGTGTTACTTTTCTTAAAAAAAAACTATTTTTTTAATTTTTTAATTATTTTTTTTTTAATTTTTTCAGATTTAAAAAAAAAAAATTAACCAATTACGAGTCGTCATATGTTGTGGAGACTCGTAAATAGTGCAAGGATTCGTTAAGAAACATTCTTTGTTTAAGAATTTTAAAAATCGAATCCTTAACTTTTTATGAAATCGACTGATTATTTAATTATTATTTTTTCTTTGGAGATGCTCTTACATGCATTCTCATTCTACATTAGTACTTGGACCATTTTCATCTTTATTATTCCATAAACCATCACACATGTGGAATTCGTCAAATGCCACTTATAATCTGACCAGGTTCATTGCTGCAAAAGTCGCAGAAGCACTTAAAATTACCGGCTCCTTTCCAAATGCATCGTCCACCTTTAGCTCCTTTGTTCTCGCGGCATTTTGTATAACAAATCGTCGGATATATCATATGCCCGCAGAAAGCAGCACCAACATCACCACCGTATTCTTTCAAGCACTCGCTATCTTGCGCTCCTATCTCCGACACTTCTGCTCAATTCATATATATAGAATATTTGAGGAAATAGGAATTACATAATAAATTCAGTGGATCACTCACTGAGATAAATACTTTCTGGATCATTTTAACAAATATATGTGAGTATATACAAAGTTAGTTAATTACCAAAGATAACCAAAAAGAGGATGAAAATTGCCGCGAAGGAAGAAACTAACTTTGTTGCCATGGCCATTTTCTGTCTCTATTATATATCTCCTCTCTATTCTTTGTGTTTCACTTAGGAGTTAACGTATTTGTAAATGAACTCGTACTATGCTATTTATCTTACTCGTTGGGGTAATAAAATATCATTAAAGAGTTATTGAGCTGTCTTGAGTACTATAAAGTATATTATCTAACTATGTGGAAAATATAAATATTTATATATGTGAATGTGATATTATACATATCTAAATGAGCTTACCATGTGTGAAAATTGAAAAAAATCGTATAAAATAATAATAAAAAACTATAATTAAAGAGTCATCTAGCTGTCATCAGTATAAATACATATTTAGATAATTTACCATGTGATTTTTATATAATAAAGTAAAGACTTTTTAAACTGTTTTTCTTGTTGACTTTTACAAATGATATGGACTTTAATAAATATTTTAGTTCAATAAAATTAAACAAAAAAGTAACCTTTTCACCTTCAACATTTTTTTCACAATGGATGAAAACTTCGATATCTAAGGCTCATTTTCATCGTCTTCTTTGATTTCTAACGGTATTTTCTTATTTCTCTTCTTCACTTCATCAGTTAACGTTCGATTCATTGCCATACGTTCATTTTTTACCGATTTTATCTCCGATGGAATCAACGATGGAAGTCTCGGCTCTACATATGTTGTCTAGACGGTGGTCTCGGTTAAAGATAAAGAAGAAACATGTGAACATACTTACGGGTTCGTTACACTTGGTAAAGTGTTTTTAATTTTGTTTATAAATTTCTCATGTCCACCGCAGCGATGTACCTATCTGTCGAAAGTGAGTTTCTTCTCGAGATCATTTCTCTTGAATCGTCAGTTGTTTGTTTCTTTATAATAAATTATGTCTTTAGCACAAATCAGTTATAATTTTTATAATCATAAATAAATTTGCATACATTTTTTTTATTAAATAACTAAATTAATTTGTTATTAATTAACAAAACTATTTTTATTAAATAAAAAATTAACCAAACAGTTCGAGTTAAAAAATAATTAATTGTTATACTGATATATTTATATTTTTAATATTTTAAAATTATGGAAGATAGTAAAATAAATAAAAAAGTATCATATCATCTTCATATATATATATATCACTTCATTTAAATATCCAATTTTCATAATTTTGATATTTAAATATGTAATTTAAAATAAAAATAAAAAAAAAATGTCAGTAATAATCTTTTAAGATTGACATGTGTGGAGAAATTGAAAAGTACAAAGTTACATCATAAACTAGAAAATACATCATAGTTTTAACATAAAACATAGTTAATAAGTTTGATGTTAATTTATTTATAAAATATATAAATAACAAAAATCATATAAATTAGAGATCCACGACAATAGTCTGTTTGACTTTCTCCAAGCTAAATCATCATTGTAATAGAAAATAAAAAATAAACACAAACAACTATATGTTCAAGATTCAAATTTAACAGTTACGAACAAATTTTGCTCAATTGTTTTGTAGTTAATGTTGATGTATTAACTAAAATCTACTTACGCTAACATAAAATGTTACCACTAAATTATAACTCTTAATAAATCTTTTCATTAACTCATGCATCTCAACATAAACATTATGTGCCACTTACACGGATATAAAATATTAGCGACCTTCACAACAATTCAATAACCTCTTTCAAAATCTATCTTTCAAAGTAAATGTAAATCAGCCATTCTCTAACATCGAAAACCTCTTTTTTAGAAATCTTAGGAGATATCATTCTCTGGATTAACCAATCCGTAACTTTTTGCAATCATCACAATCTTTGAAAAAAACGGCTCAAAAATCCAAACAACAATACTTACAAGATTATGACCTTTTAAACCACACCGTTTAAATTATTTACCACTAAATAATCACACTTAATTAAAACAATATATCACAACTACAAAATATCAAATATAATTCAAAAAATATGATTTTCATTCTTAACCGTTTTATCTAGTGACTTAAGAATGCCACAAATAAACAATTACAACATTAATTGTAAACCTACTTTTACAATTAGAGATTGACATTTTAACGATTACATTTGATAAAATAGATTTTTAATATAAAACATAAAAGAAATATATTTTTCGCGCAGCGTGTATCGCCTACTAGTAATATCTTATCTTATATAATAAAGTTGGCTTTTTTCACTCCTTGGGGGAAAAAATGTCATGTGTCACCTTCTTTTTATGATATTTTATATTTATTATATTTAAAAAACTTTAGTTTACTTAATAAACCAATAAATGCTAATAAAAATTTAAACATTAATTAAAACAAATTTTCTATTTCATTATTATTTTTTTAGTTTTCTATTTTAACGAAAATATACAAATAATTTTAATATATATATTTTTATTTATGAACAAATGATATATATAAGTTAATGTGATTTTTTTTTTACAATGTACTTATATTTAGTTTATTTTTATTAATATTATATATACATTTATATTGTAATGGTCATATATGATTTATTATTTATAAAATATTTCTAAAGCTTTTCTAAAAAAAATATTTATACATCTCTTATACAATAAAGTAGAGTTTTTTCTCTTCATAGAGGCAAAAGATGATACTTGTCATTCTATCATTTGTTGAAAGTGTTTTAGGTCCAATTATAAAAATATTTTATTTTATTTAAATTTTTATTGATTTTTACAAATGATATGATTTTTAATAAATAGTTTCAGTCCAGTAAATTAAACAAAAAAAAACTTTCTTACTTTCAACCTATTCTTCAAGATGGATGACAACTTTCATATCTTTAAATATGAAATATATAAATAAATATCCTTGATTCTTAAATCTATTTGTTCGATTTTAAAATCAATATTCTTGATTCTTAGATCTATTTTCATTTTGAAATCAGTATCCTTGATTTCCAAAAGAGTTCCATAAAATGAGAGTTTAAAAGAAAAGAAAAAGCTCCAACAAGAGTCAAACCAAAACGAGGAAAAACTGAATTACACAACAATTCTAAAACCGAAAGTAAAAAAAAAAAAGACAATTAAAATCATTTTGAAATCAACATCCTTGATTCTTAAATCTATTTGCTCTATTTTAAAATCATATGATTTATTAAGATTTTGATATCCTTGATTTTCGTAAAAAGCTATTTTCATTTTGAAATCAATATCTTTGATTCTTAAATCTATTTACTCGATTTTAAATCATATGATTTATCAAAGATTTCTAAATCCAAATGTTTTTTTTTTATAAATCCATTAAAATAGTGGAATTAGTAACCCCCACCACATGTTATCACATGTTTACTATAATTATTCAAGAATCAAAATTGTATTAATTATCAAAATGTCATGCAAGCATCTGTAATGCGTGTAAGCTTACAAAAAGTTCAGTATATAATTTTGTTTAAAACTATCAAGTATTATAGACTCAGTGTAGTAGCATTATTGTAGTTATGAATGATTATATTACAAAGTTTAATATACAGTACTTTAATATACGATTGTTGGCAAAAATAAATATACAATTGTTTTTTTCAATTTTTTAAAAAATTTTAAACAGAACTAATAAATATAAAGTTATATAAATTTGAATTATTAGGTATGATATTTTATGGTTTTTTGTTTAGTAAATTGGAGAAACATATTACCCTCTTCAACATCAAAAAAAAAAATTATTAAAAAATATTATAATAGACATTGTCAAAAGTTTGAAGATTAAAACAATTACTTATACAAAAACATTATTAAATACATCAGTTTGTCAAAAAGTAGTTCATCAAGCAATAACCAAGTAATTTCATCTAGACATTACAGTTTTTGATCAAATATCATGTAAATTTATTTAAAATCTTAGCATAATTAAAACAGAAACATATAACATCTACTGTCAATATTAGTTCGTTTACAATTTAATAATTTAAACTTCATTTTATGATTTATATTTTTTAAAAATTGATATATAGGTATTATATATATTCAAAATTAATATAATAAATTAAATTAAACTAAAATTTATATAAGAAAACCTAGACGTAGCCTGGGAAGACCACTAGTTTATAAAAAAAATGTGTTAAATGATTAATAAAATATAATTAATGATTAATAAAATACCACTTAGCTGGCCTATATCTTGCACGACTTTGCATGTCTCCCTACTTGCTCTAGCTCACTACGTTCTTTTCAAATCTTTGAATTTATATTTATGACGTATGAAGATAAAAATATATGTATGTAAGATGACAAAAAGTGAATACACGAATCTAATATGTGATTCGTGATGAATAAATATATTTCAGCAATATTTTAACTTGTTATTTACCCATTAATGAAAAGATCCATATGTGTTTCTATCAAAGAAAATAGCCATTTGAAGAATGAAACATGTAAAGCTTGCTGATTAACGCACAAACATCTCTGTGATTCTAACTCTTCGGATCTCTTCTCATAAGTTTTCTCGTTGTGTGTGTGTAATCACGTCTCCTAACTAAACAAAACACACAAAACATGTCTGATGAAATACATCTAACTATCTAAGGCCTAATAATCAAAGATCATGGGAAGCCCAACAAGGATCCGAAATGCCCAAATTGCATTTTCTCAAAGAGTGCCAAAAAGAAAAGTCGAAGCTCTAAATAACATACAGTTTATTTGTCTAACAAATCACAACGTAATCACATTGCAAACACTGATGAAGATCTGATTCATCGTAAGCATGGAGATTATTAATGATAATGATCTCAACTAACTGCATGAGATATGGTTACCGACTTCTCCATCGGGCAATAACAAGTACTATTTTGTACACTTTGGGATAATTGTTTTATTAATTTTGCGCATTAGTAAGCCTAAATAAAAGGAAGAATAAATAAATAAATAAAATTAAGAGAGAGGAGAAGAAGAAGAAGAGAAAAAGGAACAAACTTTACGTCTCCCATGAAAAAATGGAGATCGGAGAAGATCATCCTCCATGACCGTTGACCCTTAAGGTTCTTCTCTCATCTCTCTGCATCCCTTCACAATCCATCATAACGCTTGCGTCTGCGCGCGCGAAATGTATGTAAAGTTTCTGTTTTTATGCTCTAGCGTAGACTGTTATCGAAAGGCAATTCATAATCTGGAGTGATTCGATCGAATTGTTTGATACGACGAAAGTTTGTTAAAGAGTTCTGAAATGTGAAATTTGATCATAAGTAAAGATCTGTGAATTCTATTATATATGTTGGTTGCAGAGAAGAGTTGGGACTGATGTGTTCTGGTGGAGAAGGGAAGCAATGGAGTTGTGGAAAAGCAGGAGTTGTGAGTTTGCAGAAAGTTGGATCTTTGGTTCGAGATTTGAGCGAGCCTTGTCTTTCTCAATCACACATTCAGGTTGCTACTTATCACTCTAAGCGCTTCTCTTTTTACCCCTTTTTTATTCTTTCTATTTCATATTCGCTATAACAATGTGTGTAAATGATTTGTAATGCACAGATTGGCAAAATGCTTAAGCCAGAGAAGTGGCAAGCGTCTTTTGATAGTGAAGGAAGAGTTTCTGGTTTCCAAAAGGCCCTCAAGTTAATCATTTTGGGGGTATGCTTTTCTTTTTCTTTTTCTTTTAGCTGAAGAATGTTGAATGTTCTTTCGATACAATGTTATAATGTTGTTTCCTTATCAGGGAATAGATCCATCTATTAGAGCTGAGGTTTGGGAGTTTTTACTTGGATGTTATGAGTTGAGCAGCACCTCTGAGCACCGTAACCAACTCAGGGCTGCAAGAAGGTAAGACTGTTTGATTATTGAGTTAGTGTTGTATCACCGTTTAGTTCTTTTCAAAAAGCTTTAAAGTGTTTTGAATTTTCACGTAGGAAGCGGTACAATGACTTGCTCAAGCAATGCCAGACGATGCATTCAAGTGTGGGAACTGGTTCACTTGCTTATGTTGTTGGGTCTAAAGTCATGGATATGCGGAAGTCTTATAGAGATGAGGCTGTAAAGGTTGCTACTACAGATGAAAACAGAGAAGAAGCTTGTGCAGATGATAATGCTAATACCGAAAATCATCACAGTGATTGGAGTAATAATGGTGGTACTGATACACCTCATTTACACCGAAGAGGAAGTTCTAGTGAGTCTGATGATTTAGCAAGCGGAAGAGAAAGTCCCGAGAGCGTTGTGTACAACACTTCCTCATTTGTATCTGCTTCCAGTCCTTATGGTTTTCCTTCCCCTGATGGTTACTTTGACTTTCCCTCGCTGCCGGTTACAGATTTGTTTGGAAGGAATAGTTTAGATCAGATAGAGGTTTCTACTCCAGACAAGGATGCTTCACTGCACAGGGAGTTAAGATCTTCTGCTGATGAGGGAATGAACCGTTCTCGAGTTAATAAGAATGCTGACTTAGTTAGAGAGCAACAAAGGTCCACTTCAGAGATAGAAGAGTTGCATCCGGATTTTGTTGATGGCTTGAGAATATCAGAAGTCTCAGAGATGGGATCAGTAAAGGAGACTCCTTCTCATGTTGTTAATATCACGGAAGATCGAGTGTCTGAATGGCTTTGGACGTTGCATCGAATAGGTAGAACTTGCAGAGATCTTCCTTTTTTCTGTCCCAGCTTGTATCTTTTCAATAGTTAACGTTCTTGTTTCCTCCAGTTGTTGATGTGGTAAGGACGGATGGCCACCTTGAGTTCTACGAGGATCCAGGAAATCTAGGAAGAATGTCTGATATCCTTGCGGTTTATGCTTGGGTTGATCCTGCAACTGGTTACTGCCAAGGTTCCATATATCTCTCTTCGGTTTGATTTTTCAGATATGTTAAACTGAAACATGAGAAAGTTACATTGGTTTAGGATACTAACTCCATGCTTGCAACTCTGTTGATAGGAATGAGTGATTTAGTCTCTCCTTTCGTTGTTCTTTTTGAAGATAACGCTGATGCCTTTTGGTGCTTTGAAATGCTCATAAGAAGAACGGTAAATCCTATGCTGCTTAATATTTAATATGTTTTTTTTTTGTTTCTGGCCTTTATCTGAATCATGCTTTATTATGCCTTTGCTATGTGTGCAGCGAGCGAATTTCCAAATGGAAGGACCAACAGGAGTGATGGATCAGTTGCAATCACTGTGGCACATACTGCAACTCACAGATAAAGATATATTTTCTCACTTGACGCGTATTGGTGCTGAGAGTCTTCACTTTGCCTTCCGTATGCTTCTAGTTCTGTTCCGACGAGAGTTGTCTTTCAATGAAGCTCTCAGAATGTGGGAGGTGTGTAGTTCTTCTGTTCAGTCTCTGTATCTTTAGGCAACAATGTCCTAACCATGCAATTTTGCCTTTGATGTAGATGATGTGGGCAGCTGATTATGATGAATCTGTTGCTGAAACTTTGGAGAATGATTGCTTGGAGCCTTTGGTGATACATCATCCAAGTAAATCCAAAGCTGAGGTGAATGAAGAAACTAATGGTAATAGTATAAAAAGGGAACCAGCAATTTCAAAGAGTGGGCCACTTTCAAAGAGCAGCGGTTTGCTCTCTATGAGCGGTTTGCTACCGAAGAGTGGTCCGTTGCCAAAGACTACTGGACCACTCTATGAGGAGAGTGGAATGAAGTCATCATCATCATCCTCCACATATCACTTCTGTGGTTTGACAAGAAATTTTTGGTCAAGGAACGATAGAACAACACATGTCCCTTCTGTAGTTTTATCCATCAGGAAAGGGGATGAGGCTCTTCCTGTGTTTTGTGTGGCGGCGATTTTGATTATGAATCGACATAAGATCATGAAAGAAACTCGATCTATTGATGACATGATACAGGTAGAAAGTTTTTCTTTGTTCTCCTTACATGCTCAGTTGATGAGATGCAGTTATATATTTTTGCAGATTTTCAATGATAAGGTTCTTGTGTTCAGCGTGAGAAGATGCATACGCACAGCCATTAAACTTCGTAGGAAATACATGTACAAGGTTAGATATGCTTAACTAAGTAAGTTTATGGTTCAGGATTATTCTGTTTTTTCGCCATTTAACTGGTGGACGTTTGTTAGAGTCAGGTAATCAAGACCAAGAGCCACACTCAGAATCAAGACCAGTTTCAAATCCAGCATCAAACTCATATGGAGAGCCAGAAGCTGGAAGAGACTCAAAGCCACTGTGAGAACCAGAGGCAAACACAAAGTGTACATCATATTGGTGACCAGTCAGACTCCACTTATAACAGTATAATAAGATAAAACTAAAAGAAGAAGAAGCTTACACAATCAGGTCATCTTTGATAGAGAGTTTCAAGGAAGAGGTTTCTGTTTGAAGATTTCGTGCTTTGGTCTGTGTTTGAGGTAACCATTTCGCTTTTCATCTGGAGAACATGTTTGTGCATAATGAAATCTTGAACCGTGTTTGCGGACAAATTTACAGAAGCTATACAAAATCCTTAATCGCTACTAAAGCCTCTGCTTTTGTTGTTTATGTAACAGAAGGTAGCAGGAAGGAACTAGCAAGAGACTGAGAAGCTTGTGACATTGAATCGCTTGACACTAAACAAATTGAGAGTCTAAGACTCATAACGAAATAGGTTAGACAAATAAAATCTTATGTTCTCTTTCGTGCAAAAACAGTTTTGATTGCATACCCTTTTTACTTAAATGTGAATATCAGAATATTTTATACTTCTTAGAAAGCAACACAAAAAAAAATCAATCTTCTTTCAGCTATAGAGAGAATCACAATGTAATAATGACAACAAAAATCTATATCTGAAACATAAACTTATCAATCTTTTCTTTCATGTTGTTTTGTGTTTATACCTTCTGTTTATTCTTCTTGCAATCACAGAGATCAGAAAGAGAGGTTGTGCTTCTTTGTATTTAGTTTCTACGCCTGCAATCTCTTCGTATCTCACCTTCGCTTTTAGTCAACACATTTATAGATCCCATCTTGCTCATTGAAAGAGCAAATGATTTCCTAAAATCCTCAAAACTCGCTGAGAACTCCTCAGAGATTTGCTTGGTGTCATCATTGTAAAGCAGCTGTTGATCTACTTCAAGAACAGATTTGTTTGATAGAACCCTGGTGTAGAATGAGCTTGTGAAGCTATGGTTTGAGCCTGAGTCCGGGTTTAGGTACACTAGTGGATCGGTCTGGCCTTTCTGCGTTCTCGGTGGACATTTCTTTGCCATCTCAGAGAGAAAAGACTTGTTCATAGTGGGGCTTGGTTTACCTGTCTTGTTGAAGTTGTAGAGACGGTCAACGATGTGGCTGCAATGTGTTCTCCCCATTGAATGTGAGCCTGGTTTAGGAGGTTCAGTTAATTTAAAACCGGTTCAAACTAAACCAAAACTACCTTGAAACAAACTGATTTGGTCTCCTACTACTGACCTAGAAGGGTAGCCATGTCAAGAACATCCAACCCTCTGGACTTGAAGTAAGCCATGGATGCATCCCATGAGATGGAGGGTGATGGTAGGTCGACGGTTTGCTTATCAGACGTCAAGCCATCTCTCCTGCCTGTGAACACAGGATAAGATGGTGCACCTGCCTACAGAATGTCCATACATGTCAACTGGTCAGTACCTATACGTGTATGGATAGAGCTAGAAAGAGAGATTGAAATGGAAGTAGATATAACCAAATGAACAGCATCTCGAGTTGCGAGGTTAAGAATGTCAGCGCAAGAGACAACACCAGGACATCTTTGTTCCAACACTGTCTTGATTTTGTCTATGATCACGAACGCTCCAAGTCCTCTGTTCTGAGGCGCCATTCTCTCTGAGTTTGGACCTTCTATGAGAACTGATGCGTCGCATCCCTATGTCACACAAACATATAACGTTTAGATCGTTAAATGGTTTAAGACAAGAATAAGAGAAGAAAAACGTACGGTGACAAAGCAATCTGAATAGAGGAGACGAAGGAGCTTAGGAGCAATGGTTGCATCATTCTTGTAAAACTTCCCAACCTGGTGCCTGATAAAGTTCTCAGCATTCTCGCAAGTGTTATAAACTTTGTAGTAGTGCCACGTCAGCTTCTGCATCGACGGTCCCATCACAGCCGCCTCTGCCGTTCCAGAGAAAAGGCTAACGGCTCCTATCACCACCACCAGGAGGAAGAGCTTAATCATAGCTATATCTATCTCAGGGTGAAGCTGTTGACTGTTATGGAGAAGACAAATAGATATGATGTTGAGTAGTAGTGATGGGTTTATATATATATACAAGGGAGTTTGATATGTGGATTGTGCTGGTGCTTAGGGGTTGTTGTCCACGTACTCTGACTAGGATTGAGAGAACATTATTTATTAAATGATTTTAAAATTAATTAAGAAACAAGTTTTGCAAGCATAATAATCGGATCTTTGTTGAGTTTGTTTAAGTACCGTGCAAGGTAAGTTGCCAGCCCGTAATGTCATCTACACATTTAATTTATGTGCCTAGGGTTCTGAATATATTTTTGCATGAATATCAGGTTGCATACATTTAGAAAATGATTTGATATATAAGTACTGTATATCATCTACAGTACACTATATGATATTTTTTTTTATTAAGCAAAGATGAAATAACAAATGGCATGCCAACATTGGGAAAACACCAGATTGGTTAGACCAGCGCAACGGAGGTCCGTGGGCCGAGTCCTTAGGTTTTTTGGATTTAAAATAAATCGATTTGGGCTCGAAATTAGAAGGATTTGTACGGTTGAGTCCGTCTGTAAGGACCCGAAACATGAATTCGTGCACGTGTCCTCGTTTGGTTGGGCCGATGAGCAATAGAGTTTTCGAGTGTTGGGAAAAAATTTCATTTGGTATCGAAGGGGTGAAAAAAAAAATCAGAGCTCGAGAGACGAAGGCGATAGAAGACACCGTCGATCTTCCTCTTTTGTGCTCTTCTAACGATAGAATTTAGGTTGGTTGTTCTTTTGTGGTAGATCTAAGAGAGATTAGGTTCGTTGTTCTTCTGTGGTAGATCTAAGGAGAGATTAGGTCTTTTTTTTTCTCGTCTCCCTCTATGTTTCGTATCTCGGTTGAATCGATTTGTTATGTAGTTAGCTCGATTCAGATTATTAGGTTTGAATTCGTTTTCGATCGGTTTGATTTTTACAAAGGATTAGGGTTTCAATTCGATTTTGTTTTCGGTTTCAGTCGAGGTGATGAAAGCTTAGGGTTCAGTTTCAGTTTGTGATGAAAGCTTAGGGTTTCAATTCGATTTTGTGATCGATTTTGTTTTCGGTCTCAGTTTTTTTTCGTTTTCTGCTTGAACACATTAGGGTTTCTTTTCGTTCTCGGATCTTAGTTTGTGATGAAAGCTTAGGGTTTCAATAAGTTTCTCTTTTCATATATCTAAGTAAATGTGTTCTTAATAAACAGCCTAGTTGTGTTCTTAAGCTTTACTATCTTCTTTTGCTTCGTGTTCTTAATATTTAGTTTTCTTCTGTTTTTTTTTGCAGGCAAACGGACCATGGGACAAGACTATAGTTACACGCAGCCTTCTTCATCAGAGGAGTTCGACATGAACTCTTTACTTGAAGCAGAGGCTGCTCTCTATGCGGATGAAGGCGATAGTAGCTTCACATGTGCAGCGGCGGTTCAGTACAGAATGGAACCTGAGGCTGATGAAGGAATACCGAGGATATGCTATTGCGGTAGTGATCCAGTTGTTGAGACGTCGTACACTGCAAAAGATCCAGGAAGGAGGTACTTCTACTGCTCCAGCGTTGACGATGGAGACACTCACATCTGGAAATGGTGGGATTTGGCGATTCAAGAGGAGCTTCTTGAAACGCAGACACAACTTAGGATGGTCAAGGATCAATGCTTTGAGAGTGACCAGAAGGTGGCTAAGCTTGAGCAAATCGTGGGTGTGTTAACTAAGAAGAAAGAAGGTGTTAAGGATGGGTTGGGGAAGGTAGTTTGTCTACTGTTCTTGCTAATACTGGTCATCGTAATGGGCTGGTAAGCTTTATACATTCTTCAGATAAATATTTTTGGCAATCCAATTGCCATTATTAACTGTTTTTTCTTATGTCTTTCAAGGAAGAGTTTCGGAGGATTTGAACATCAGTGTCTCAACTTGGAATGGGCCTCGCAGGTAATTTGTTTCTTTCTTACCATACTTTGAGTAATAAAAACATTTCATAGTTTATAAAGATAATTTCCGTGAATTAAAAATAACTTCTGAGTAATAAAAATACTTTGAGTAATAAAAATACTTTCAGTAATAAAAACATTTATTAGTTTATAAAGATAATTTCCGTGAATTAAAAATAACTTCTGAGCAATAAAAATACTTTGAGTAATGAAAATACTTTGAGTAATAAAAACGTAGCTAGTGTACAAATACTTTGAGGAACTTCTCCGAGATTAATATAATCTTCTCTTTGTTTTGTTTGGTTTGGTTTCAAAATGTGAGTTTTTAAAGCTAGATTTGATGCCTTCGTACTTGTTAGGTTAAACGTAGCTAGTCTAGAACTTATTACTGTGATTAGAGCGGTGGTAAATGCTTTTCTATCTGCCTAACTACTCCAAAACTAAATGCGTACTTACTTTCTATTGGTTACTTAAGGGTTTGTGTTGGTAATAGAGTAACACAAACCAAAATCTAAACATGAATACCCCCCCCAAATGGCTTTATTAATCTTTTGTATAGTCAAACGTCAGTTGATCTTGAGTCCCCCGAACCATCTTGGTTTGGTAGGCAAGGTCCTGATGAGTCTTCTTTCCAACAGGGAGTCGATTGTTCTTTCCAAACTGGTGTTGAGTCCCCTGTCGAGCCTACTGTCAGGTATGCTAGCAAAGAGAGGAGGAAATGGTCTACCAATGAGGATAAAAATCCTCATTGGTGCGTGGCTTAACACCAGCAAAGACCCCATTGTGAGCTGTGACCAGAAAGCTGACCGTTTCTGGAAGAGAATTGTAGATTACTACATTGAGAGCCCTCAACTGATTGGGACGGTACCTAGAGAGCTTGGTCCAGCGAAGCAGAGGTGGGCTAGGATTAATGAGCAAGTATGTAAGTTCGTTGGTTGTTATGACGCGGCATTGAGGGGTCTGGGAAGTGGCCAGAATGATGACGATGTGATGAAAGAGGCTCTGGACTTGTTTTCAAAATTGTACGGCATGAAGTTCGGCCTTGAACACGCGTGGAGGGAGCTTAGGCATGACCAGAAATGGTGCACGACCTACATTGGTGGGAAAGAGAAGCGCAAACAAGTCGTCGACGTTGATACAGAAGATGAAGTTCCCGAGCCTGAAACCAGACCACTTGGTGTCAAAGCTGCTAAGGCTGCTGCCAAGAGAAAGAAGAGTGGGAAGAAAGAAGAAATGTCACAGCTTCACTCCATCTTGGAAGTCAAACATAAAATCTGTAAAGAAAAGATTCTAGAACGTTTGCTTGCGAAAAAGGATCCTCTCTCGGAGGTGGAAGAATCTCTTAAAGTGAAACTCATGACTGAGATGATATGATAGGTTTGATATTGCTAGTAACAAGTTGTTTCATGCTAGTAACAAGTTGTTTCATGCTTGTCTTGTAGTTAAACAACTTTATTTGTTTTCTTGTACTTTACTAACTCTTGTCTTTTGTTTTCTTTCAGGTGTAGCTGCTGAAGGTACAAGAAGTCACGGGTTCTTTCAGGTGTAGCTGCTGAAGGTACAAGAAGTCACTGGTCACGGGTAATGAAGATGTTTTCTCAGAAGGTAGAAGAAGTCACGGGTAGTGGTAAAAGCTAGTATAAGTTTCCATTGTATCATCTCATTAGGTAGTTGCTTTTTTCTCTTATTCAAGCACATCTATCTCTAGTTTCCTTTTCTCTTATTCAAGCACATCTCTCTCTAGTTTCCTTTCTCGGCTGTTTGTGGCTTACTCCAGGCTTGTAATCAACTACTATTGCATCCATAAACTTGGTAACTTCTTTTGTTGTAATGCTATTGAAATGCCAAGTTGTTTTATGTTTCTCGGCTGTTTATATTTCTTGAGATGCCAAGTTTTGTCTCTCTTTAGGTGTCTCTTGCAAAGAATTTAAACTTGATATCAAACAAAAGTAGCTTTATTGATTGTTATCATTATAAACGAACTTAAACTTGATTCAAAAGTTTATTGTGTTACCACTATATGGTTCAATTTGATCATCTAGTAAACAAAATAATGAAATATGCCAAGTCAAACTTTGAAAATCTTAAATAAGTATTTGGGCATATATATTTGTATTAAACATTTTTACAGGAAAATGATAACCAATTGAACACATATGATAAGAAAATGAACAAATACAATATCAACAATTCTTGACATTAAACTAAACACACGTAACTAATTCACATATTTATATATATTTTATGTGCATGCTCAGCAATTGAAACTTGATTCAAAGTATACTCTTTTTTTTTAACTATTTGCTTATAACTATTTTTATCTTCATTTTTTTTTAGATTACTATGTATTGGAATATGTTATACTTTGTATATATGAAATTATAAGAAGTACAAAAATATAAATTATAAGAACTACATCGATTAATCATGCAGTTTAAATTCTCTTATGTTGCATTATAAAATTACGCTGCATATTAAATTTCCCCTTTTTTTATAAATAGATTTGTCTTTTTGCACCAATTATTTAATTTGGTGTTTTTTAATGGCAGGACGACCAGAAATAAATAACCGAAACCCGGAAATGTCATCATCTTCATCCGATGGAGTGGGCGAAAGATTGGATGAAATTATCGACGATCTCATAGACGATACCTACAACAACATTTTGGAGGCCCAACTGAAACAGCCACACCGACGTTCTTATATAGAACGAATCCGAGAATCCGGACACGACCGTCTATGGCAAGACTACTTCAGCGAAGAGCCGACATTTCCGGCACATTTATTCCGACGTCGTTTCCGTATGAACAAGGACTTATTCATGCGTATTGTCAATGCCCTCTCCGAAGAATTTCCATTCTTCCAACAAAGAAGAGATGCAGCCGGGAGGTTAGGTCGTTCACCCCTACAAAAATGTACGGCAGCAATTCGAATGCTTGCTTATGGTTCTGCGGCTGACGCGGTTGACGAATATCTCCGACTTGGTGAAAGCAGGGCACTTTCATGTTTAAAACATTTCACTGATGGAATAATCCATCTATTTGGAGAAGAGTATCTACGAAGACCCACACAAGAGGATCTTCAACAACTCCTCGATATTGGAGAGTTGCGCGGATTTCCTGGGATGATAGGAAGCATTGACTGTATGCATTGGAAGTGGAAGAACTGCCCTACTTCTTGGAAAGGGCAGTACGCACGTGGATCAGGAAAACCGTCAATTGTCTTAGAGGCTATTACTTCACAGGATCTTTGGATCTGGCACGCTTTCTTTGGTCTCCCGGGTACCTTAAACGATATTAATGTCCTCGAGCGGTCTCCTGTCTTTGATGACATTACGCAAGGTCGAGCTCCCGCGGTACAGTACGTGGTCAACGGACACATGTATAATCTGGCGTACTACCTCACAGACGGTATCTATCCAAAGTGGTCAACATTTATCCAATCTATCCCACTTCCTCAAGGTCCAAAAGCCGAGTTATTTGCTAAAGTTCAAGAATCAACCCGAAAAGATGTGGAACGGGCTTTTGGAGTATTGCAAGATCGATTTGCGATTGTGAAAAACCCGGCTCTTTCATGGGACAAGGAAAAGTTAGGGAAGATTATGAGAACGTGTATCATATTACATAATATGATTGTCGAAAATGAAAGAGATGGATACACTCAGTACGATACATCTGAATTTGAAGAAGAAGGTGCCACCAGAAGTGCAAGGGTCGATATGTCTTATAGTGCCTACATGCCTCCAAATCTCGAGGAAATGCATGGCATTCGGATTCATCTTCGCGATAAACGTATACATCAACAGCTCAAAAATGATTTGATTGAAAATATTTGGAACAAATTTCGTGATGATCAGTAAAGGTTATTGTATCTTTTTAAAAAAAGACTTTCTAATAAAAAATTTTAATTTTCCCAAGTTTATATTTTTAATATTTTTAATTTCTAAGGATTCCATTTCGGATAACACCAATGCACCTACCATTTTGAATTAAAATCCTTAATTATTCAACAAAAAAATAATTATTTTTTTTATTGGTAAGGACTTCATCCACAAATCCACCAATGTGGATGGTCTTAGATTACGACTAATTTATTAAGAGTTGAGGGTTTGTGTATGAAGATATTATGTAAAGAAGCAAAGGTCAAAAGAGAAAATGATAAGACTTTAACAGGACTGGAATTTTGGATTTTTTAGAAGAAAAAAAATGATTTTATTGAAAACCAATATAATATGTGTGACCCCTTAATTACAATATTAACTAAGTGTGTGCAAATGTTTATAATTTACGTTATGACATCATCCGATAGTAAAGCAACGTGTTATCATGTGATGTTAACTCGGCTTCTGCGCGTTGTTTGATTTCCCATGCTAAACTATGAGATCCATTTTTTTTTGTTCTTATTTATTATGTAGAAGACGGTTTCAAACATGTAAACAAGCTGGTCTTTAAATAAGAATATATAAGTGGTGACTAAAATCTAGTTCTCCACAAAGAACTGATCATGTAGCAAAATTAGCGATTACGGAATTTGTCATTAGTACGTTCAATGATTTGATCAACCTCCATAGGAAATAGTTAGCAATGGCGATATATATGGTGATAAATAAATTAAATAAAGAGTATTCGTTTGTCAGTTAACATCACCAAAATACTTTTCACTTGAAACTTAACCCATATTCTTTTCATACTCAGGACTGGTAATACTGTTAATCACAACATGGTATGTTTGTCAATGTTTTGTGAAATAATTAAAAACGTTTATGATGACAATTTTATTCTGATTCAAATTAATGATATGCAGTATAATCATCTATAGTTTATGTTTTTTTTACATTCCATTCATATTTGTTTTTTCAGTTATATTTGTTTTCACTTTCACAAAAAAAAAAAAATCTGATTTGATCATTTGACACTCAAACATGAAAGATATACAATAATATAATACATATAATGTTTGCTTCTTTAAATATATGTACGCAACACACAATTTGAATTTTCTTATATATGGACTTTACAACCTTTTTCTTATAAGTACTTATGACTTATATTACCACCGAAAGTTCATTATGAAACGGGTAAAAAGAGTGGAATATAATTGTCAAACCTAGTTGTACATACAACTTTCATCCAAATTAAGTTAATAGCTATTTGACTTTTAAGTTTTTTCTTAATTAAAGCTATCGTTTATTTTAATTTATGATTTTGCATGTACCACTTAACATTTTAGGTTTTTTTAGCAGTTACTTGAATTTCTTGAGCCTTATACTTCATGGTCTAGAAGCATTATACCACATCAGAACATTTTTGTAACTGTATTACTTTTAGAGAATTTTTAGTGCATTGTTATATATATATTTTTGAGATAGAGAGTATCTCTAAATAGAGTTAATTATAATTTACTTCAACAATACTCCATTTTGAAGTAAATAATAGAAATATAATAAGTCATTTGATTACCTATTGATTTCTACATTTTTTTAGCAATTATATTTTTTTGATCTATAATATAAACAATTTTATATATTTAAAGTGAAAAATGGAATTAGTTTTGAGATACTCTTACTTTAGCAAATGCTAACGTTTCTTCTTGTGGAAATATCAGTAGTTTATTTAGTAAATAATGATCCTAAATCCTAATGAGTTTTTGTAGTTAATCTTGTTTCTCTCCCAAATTTTGGAAATAATTACTCTAGGAGACACATCTTTAGTTATCAATATCACTAATAGACACAAAGCATATATGACACATTTTATGCTTGCTAAAAGACGAAGATATCCTCTAACTCAGATTTCTTTCTTTTTCTTTTTTTCTTCACATATTCTTTCGTTAGTTCAACTAAATCTTTTTTTTTTCTTTCTTTTTCAAAAAAATTATCTTATCTTCCAAATTTCTGTAAAACAAATTAGAACTATCTTATACCTACATTCAAAAAGTAATCATAAACTCCTTTCTCTCTTGATCTAGAAATTGAATTGTGAAAACGAACCTTAATCGTATCCTCTCCCTTCCGACTTTTTCTCTGATCCCATCTGACATCTTCTTCTTGACTCTCTTCCGTCATTTTCTCCATCTCGATTCTCGGAGTTGTTGGTGTTATCTATCGCCGCTTCATCATCAATCTCCAATATGGAAGGTTAGATTTCAATTACAAAAGAGATTACTTGAGTTTACTTAGTTCTTTCAGTCGAAACCATAACTCTTTACATCTTGTTTTTAATTTTGCAGAGAACGAAGACCTGCGTCTCTCCAAGAGGCTCTTCACAACTCTGCTGACCACCAAACAATTGATCGAAATTCTCTTGACCACAACTCCATTAATGAACATATATCAACTGACAATATATCTTGGTGTCTAGACGAACATGGCACTTTATTCACACTGAGTGAACTTGGAAGGTTCTATTCTTTTGAAAGCGTGACAAAGTTCATTGGGTTGTCATGGGGGTGGTCAGATTGGCTCTAGTATCGCGTGAGGAAGTTGTTTTCTCTGTCATTATGCTATAAATCTCATGACCACAATTCCTCTGACCACAACTTAACCGATCATAACTCACCTAACCACAGATCTCCCACCAACTACTCTTCTGACCATAACTTCCCTAATCATAACTCACCAAACCCCATCTCCCCACCTTCACCCAATTCCCCTGACCACATCAAGCCTTGCCACGTAGAGCCTAACCACCTCTCCCCTGTTGACCACCGTCGTTTCCTTCTTAATTGCATCATCAGATAAGCACCCTCGAGAAATACTAGCATATCCACAATGGTTAGATTTTTTACTTTTACTCAGATCCAAAGACCAGAAACTATTATCTTATTCTGTATATTTATTTTTTAAATTATATTTTATCATTAATTGTAAGTGAATTCAGATTTAGTTACAATTCTTTCATCGTAAGGTTGCTTTCTCTTTAGACAAAAAGTAGGGCTAATTCTGTCCAAATAAAATTTAGATATCACTAAAATGTAGAAAAATGTGTGTTCAAAAAAAAAGTAACTCTCTCCAAATTTTGGGGTAATGCAAATAGTAAAAGCAAAAATTAAAGAATAATTGGGCTTAAGTCCAATACGAAAACAGTTTGATGGATGGGCTAGAGAGTAAAACAATTTGATAGATGGGCTAGAGAGTAGATTTGGTATTCATATAAAAGAGTCTAGGGTTCTTTATATTTGGCGACAGTGTTCTTGCGGCTTAGCTTAAACAACAGATCCGACAATGGTATGTTACATGTTTTATCCTCCATTGCAATCTCAGTGTTACATCGGTGTCTTTGTTGCTTGAAATGTCGGTTCTTGCTTCATTTTAGCTTAATTAATCGCTTGTTACTTTGATTAGGATCTACTAAAACGTTTTGATGTATCTTGCTGATTTGCTTGATGATTATGGTTGATATACGATGTGTGTAGCCTAAGCAAATCCACGAGATCAAGGACTTCCTTCTGACAGCAAGAAGGAAAGATGCTCGGTCTGTGAAGATTAAGAGAAGCAAAGACATTGTCAAGTTCAAGGTCAGATGCTCCAAGTACCTCTACACTCTCTGCGTCTTTGACCAAGAGAAAGCCGACAAGCTTAAGCAGTCTCTTCCTCCAGGTTTTTTTATAATCTCTTCTGCTGTTCTACACTACTCAATACTGTGTCACACTTTGAATCATTTGAAGTAATTAAAATATTTTGGTATATGGGTCGGGTTTCACTTAGGTTTGAGATTTTCGTAGTCTACACAAATTCTCATTACTTAGTAACTTAATAAATTGAATTTTGATGTATGGGTGTTCCTAAACAGTTTTGCTTGGATTTTACTAATTATTTATGTTCATGAAAGCATCTAGATTCCCATATAGACACAGTATATGTTTTGTTGTCTCTTAGCTCTAAACATCTTTGCTTGGATTTGACAAAGTAATATGTTCATAAAAGTATGTCGATTCTCATATGTTTTGTTGTTAGTTCTTAACTTTGAACTCTGTTGCACGTTGTCAGGTTTGAGTGTACAAGACCTCTGAAGATGAAGCCTTGGTGATAATATGACTCTTTGTGCCATTTTATATTTTTCTTAGAAGAGTATGTTTTGTGTCGTTCAATTATGCCTAGACTTTTCCAAATACTGTTTGTGGATTGATACAGTTTTTATCATCAGTGAAGGTTTTGCTCTGGATTCAAATTTTAGTTTCAGAATCTAGTAGTACCTCATAATCTCTTCAAAAACTCAATCTCTATAACATTATTTGAGAAGTCAGTTTCCTATGTGTCGCTCTCACGTTCATTCTCACGATTGTTGATTACATTGATAAAACGAAAAATATGTATATAATATAATTTTCATAAAAAAGGAAAATTGACAAAATGGTAATAATACATTTAAAAATATTTTTAAAGAACATAAAAATATGTATATATAATATAATTTTATAAAAAAGGAAAGTTCACAAAATAGTAATAATACATTTAAAAATATTTTAAATAACATAAAATATACTTTTAGAGTAATAAAATAGTTTATAATTAGTGTTATTGAATTTTTATTTTTTTTCATATATTTAGTTGACTATAATATCTTTCAATTACAAGAAAATTATCTAGAACTTATATTTTACTTATATAATATTATTTTCAAATACAATCACAATTTTGTGTAGTGTTTATTTTTAAGAGATATTAAAAACTAAAAATAAATTTAACAATAAACATCGTTTGGTCAAAATAATTGTTCTAGTGAGCTAGATATATGATATTTTATCATTACTAAAATTATTTATTTTCTTAATATTAATTGTTTTAAATTTTATCTTTTATGTTTGTGAAACTAAATATAACCATAATCAAAATATCAAATCAAATTTGAATTCTCAATTTAAGATTATTTAAAATAAATTTCAGTTTACATTCAATAAATCTAAAGCATAAAGTTATTTAGAATTTATAAATGCATGTAACCTTTTATTGATCATATGATAACTCAAAACATATTAACAAATAAAAATAAATACTAACCAACTCTTACAATTTTAGTTCTTTTGTAAAATTTATATATATTCATGAGACTTTAGAATATTTTTCGTTATATTAATTTACGTATTTTGGAATCAGACACTTTAGTTAATTTTTAATTTATTGTAAGCACAATATATCTTAAGCTTTACATGATTTTCCTAAAATATATTTACATATCTAAGACAACACCCACCATATGCAAATAAGTAACTAACTAAAAATTAATATATTTTAAAAATATTACAGTTGAATTCAGAGATGCAATCCAATTTATCCAAATGATAACTAAACCAACCGTAAAACAACAAAATTGACTAGAAATAACATATATAAAATTACAGTATAAGTAAAGTAATATAATACTATTAATATAAATGATTCATACAAATTATAAATTAATTTAAAATTTAAAGTATATAATAATCAATTATTAATATATATCTGATTTAAAAATATTTATACCCGTGCATGAGCACGGAAAAATCACCTAGTAGAAACTTAAACTGCAATACCGTTCCAGCATTCCTTGGAACTTGGTAGAGTTAGGAGCTTTTCGGAGTCTTAAGTATAAAGGTAAATCAATTTATCCCCGATAACTAGGCCCAGGCCCAGTTGGGGCTTGGTCTTCTTTGGGTACTTAACGGCCTTGTGGGGGCTAGTTTTAACCAAAACAATTTCAGAATTAACACATTTTTGTTCAAGCTTACAAAACACAACTAAGGCGATGGTGGCTGGTGTAAGACCTCATTTCTTGACATTAATTTGTTGAAAGATGTGTCTTGTCATGAAAAAGAGGCAAGGAAAAAGTCATTTCAACAATGAAAAAACAATTTAATAGCCTGGTTGAGAGGTATGGTGTGGTGTGAACCTTATTGAATTGTCAAAAAGATGAAAACGGGTACAAACGATGCAATTTATATGATGTCTTAAACGGGTATAAACTAGAGTTTTTTTTCTTTATAGAGGTAAAAATAATATGTGATATTAGTTTATTAATTTTCATAGTTTTGAATGATTTTGTTATTTTTGGTGGATTGGATTCCTTTTTTAGTTAGACTATTAAATTATTATTTTTATTCTGATTCTACTAAAATTCATTGTTTTTTTTCCTTGAATAAAAATTCACCGTCTTGCTATTAACTTTTAGGGTTCAACATATTGTTCAAGTTTCGATTTGTTCACCCGATTATAAAAGTTTTGGGAGAGTTTGAGATCAATATTTATGACGAATCAATGGATTGAGATGTTTTTGTGTTGAATCGTCTTAGTTTATTCTCCTTTAAACTGTTATGGGATCCATTGATTTTTAGCCATTAACGATTTTCTCAACTATTTTGACCCACTCCAAACTTAAATTTCTCATTTAATGCATCTTTGCTCTCTTCAATCGGTACATCTCCAACTATTCAAGGTGAATAAAAGAAGACTCAAAGCTTACTGTAGCTTCAGGCTTTACTTAGAGAGCAATATAAGATTTTCTCGATCCACAGATTACTGTAGATTCAGAGAAGAATGAGATAAAGCAACCGTTGTTGGATCACCTATTGAGTCTATGCCGGATTGGATCTCTAATCTCCACCAAAAATTCGTCAAATTTTGCTCAGTTTCTGGATTGCACCATTTATGTTGTTCATACTCAAAATTTTCCTATTGTATTACAATTCCATCTTTGACTGGATGTTACCCAAATATTTATGTTCGATTAGTGGAGTTTAAAGAAGAACGCTTTTTAAATACTAATCACAATGTTAGTATTAAAGAGTTGCAATTTCACATTTCTAGGCATTGGCCAATTTGTGTTGACATGAGATATTAGAGACGATGAAAAAATTGGAATCCTCACGACTAAAGTTAGACTCTCACAAATTACGGTTATTTGTGCTCACTTTGTAGTTTCTGTTTTATTATTTCAGACAAGAATCAAGGGTTGGAAAGAAGAGGACCATAGTATTATCCTTAAGCTTTTTGGTAAAGGATATGTGAGATTCTTCGATTACTTTTATCAATTTGACAAATGTATAAACCATCATAATGAGATTCAAGATGTATAATTAAAAGTAAGAGAGAATTATACATGTCCTTTATTTGTTAAAACCAAAATTTTTACATTTTTATTTGCAAATGCATGAGAAAACAAATTACAACTTGAAAATTTTATAGTTTTATATGACAACAAACATAGGACTGAAAACATATACAAACTCTTGACATTGTATTGTTATCGCTGTAATTTTCTTCTAGCCACTGTAAGTAAACTATACATGAAATTGTATTTTCGAATGTAGACATGCTACATACATATATAAATCGGGAGAATCAACCAATATATTTATTGAAACATGCCTATTTATTTGAATCGAATTTTTGTAATGTTTATCTTCAGTTATGGTTGATACAAAAAAAAAGAATTTGGTTGATAATGATTATAATATTAAATTGTAAATATTTTTTTTTGCTTATATGTCATTTTAGCGTTTAGATTAATCGAATTTGAATATAATTATTATTTAATGCATGAACTTGGTTGCTAAGAAAGTAGGAAAAAGATCAAAAAAACACCTTGAATACAGTATGTGTATTTTGTTGATCCCGATAAACTATGTGATCTTAAAATTTTAGAAGTCCACCACGCTAAAACAATTTTAAAGGTTTTTCTTGCAAACAAGTTATACAGAAGACATAACGATATTGGTAAAATCAATAAAGTTAGTAATACCATATATGAACTGAAACAAATGATTGGGCAAATAGCTAATCAGATCAAGCCGACCACTGCTTCTCTATCTTGAATTGTCTCTTAATATGCACTAATTAAGTGTATCAATATTATATAAAATAATTGATCTTCGTGACAATGCAATCTCATTGATAACACATGAAATTTATATTTCAGTAGTCTTTCACCAATTTTTTGTTTTTTGAAAAATTTCTTAAGATAGACTTAAAAAAGTTTTCGACACAGATATAGACCTTAAAAATAAAAATGATCAAAATAGACTTAAATATTTTATCAAAAGAAGTAAATATACACTTATACCCCCAATGATTAATTAATATAGACATTAGAGTTAAGAGGTAGGGTTTAGGGTTTAAGATTTAAGATTTAGGGTTCATAGTTTAGGGTTTAGGGTTGAGCAATTGGGTTTTGGAGATCTGATTTCAAATTTTTAAAAGTTAAAAAAATTCAAATTTTAAAAACAAAAATGATTTTTTGGTCATTTTAATTTTTTAAATCTATTTTTGTGACAAAAAATTAAAATATTTATTTGACAGAATTACCTTTTTATAATCATAATTTTATAAACATCCAAAAATATTTACGAAATCATTAGTTTTATATAATAAAATAACAAACAACAATAACTTATAATAAATAGTTTAATTTAAATAATAAATAAATTATTTTCTACTCGTCGAACGGACCACCCACTAATTTTTAATTAGATAGACACGACTCTTACTTGATTGCTTTGTTTTGTTCTTCTACAAGTGATAACTCCTGTATTGTTAATATGGTCTTAATTTTTAATAACAGATGAAAGATTAATTTATTTTCTAATCTTCATTTGTCTATCTCACATTTCTCCTCTATATTATTGTTTTCTCGTAATCATACTTTAGTTAGCAGATATTAGTCTAAAAGGAATATCGTTGCTGGAAATGTGTCTGGCAACAAGCTAAAAAGATGAACATAACAAATGAAAAAAAAATATAGAACCAAAATCTTGATCTTTTTTTTTATCAAAAACCAAAATCTTGAATATTTTATCATAAATAATGCTGCCAACTACTTTTAAAAATTATGACATTTTTAATCGACAATATATACATACAGTATCTTACATTGACAAAGTCAACTAGTTGATAAGAATCTTACCAACCAAAAAAGCTAGTTTATATAAGAAAATAATGTACAGTATAAAACATCAAAATTAGTTGATATCTTCAGGAAAACTACAACATAGAAACTCTGTTACAAAAAAAAACTTAAGTTAAGTTTCAGAAAAGTTTAATTAGACACTACCACATGTAAAAAACCAAAATAGTATATACAGGTACTAGTAATAGTAATACCATTCAACAAAACCAGCAAATTATAATATAAGATTGACCAAGGAGAATCTTATTTTCTTTCTTCTTCAAACGTCGATCCAAAAGGAAATGTTTTTTTCCTGCCTTCCAAAAGAGAATCTAATCTAGCAAAATAGTAAAAAGAAAAGAAAAAAATATTAAATGACGAAACCGTTAC